GCATGTGAATGTGGTTTACTCTCTTCTTCTGTGGTGTCAGTGTTGTTGAGCTGTGATGAGCATGGTGGAATAAAGTTCTATTGGATCCAAAAGGAAAAGTTATTTTTATTGACTAACATTGGTAGCAGAGGATGGTTAGCAACTACAGAGTTCCACCAACGTTTGAAGAAGGAAAGCCTTATGAAAGTTGGAAGAATGAAGTCAACATTTGGACGAGAGTTACAGATTTGGAGAAGAAAAAGCAAGCGCTTGCTGTCGCCCTGGCGCTGTCTGGAAGGGCGCGAGACACAGCAATGGAAATTCTGGTAGACAATCTAAATAAAGACACTGGAGTGACCACATTGTTAGCTAAACTAGATGATTTGTTCCTAAAAGAGGAAAAGGACAGGGTCTATGAAGCGTACTCAGATTTTGACCGGGTCATTAAAGAAGCAAACATGTTGATGGCAGACTATATTATTGATTTCGAGCAGCGTTACTCGTGGATGAAAAAATACAACATGGAGCTACCCGACGCTGTTTTGGCTTTTAAGCTTTTGAACACTGCTTGTTTGGATATGACGTACAGACAGTTGGCTCTAACGGCATGTTCAGATATAACTTTTGCTTCAATGAAGTCTGCTTTGAAGAGAATATTTGGCGGGGAAAAAAAAGAGTGCGACAGCAGAAAATATTAACCAAGTGTCCGTGTTTGTAACAGAGAAACGGTGGCAAAAGGGCAAGTCCTGGTGGCAAAATACTCGTCAGAAAACTCTACAGTCCAGCACTCCACAACCTGGTACAAACCCGTTGGATAAGTATGGGCGGCAATCAAAATGTGCAGTGTGCCAAAGTACTTTTCACTGGGTTAAAGACTGTCCACACAAAGCTGAGAGTGTTAAAATAACCGATGATACAACAAACGTGGAAGAATGCAATATAACTCTATACACCAAAGAATCACCAACAGATGCAGAAATATTCATGACAGAATGTTTTGACTCAGCAATAATAGACACTGCTTGTACTAGGACAGTTTGTGGACAAGAGTGGCTGGACAACTACAGTACTGTGTTACAAAAGAAAAGTGTGAAGACGATGAAAGAGACAGAAACACAAAGTCACAGGACCTTTAAGTTTGGAGATGGAAGAGTCATCCACTCCATCAAAAAGGTAAGGATACCTGCTAAAATCGGCAACAAAAAGTGTAATATAGAAACTGAAGTGGTACCTGCTAACATTCCACTGCTTCTGAGTAAAACATCATTAAAAAGAGCTGGGACAGTTTTGGACATGGAAAGGGACAGTGCAGTGATGTTCAACCAGCCTGTCAAACTGGACTTTACTAGCTCTGGTCATTACTGTGTGAACATTGTGGACAGTGAAAATAAAAATCCTACTCACTCTGATAAGATATTAGATACTACTGAGGAAGATATACTGACTACAACAGACAAGATGAACACAAGTGAAAAGATGAAAGTTTTAGAGAAAATTCATAAACAGTTTGGGCACGCCTCTGCTGATAAAATACAAAGACTTTTGACTAGTTCTGGCAATAAGGACACAGAATGCAACAGTCTGATGAAAAAGATTGTGAACCAGTGTGAAATGTGTCAAAAATATTGTAAGACCAAACCAAAACCTGCTGTCGGTTTACCATTGGCATCTACATATAATGAGACAGTTGCTGTAGATCTGCATATGCTTGAACCTGGGGTGTGGTACCTATGTAGTGAACTAAGCCTCAGGTCAAAACCTGACCCTGAGGACCTTCATGGGACAGGAACTGTTATTTCATTGATTTGAGTCCAGAAATACAAATTAAGCTCATCCAGAGACTTTCTAAGTGTGTCCTGCACTAATCAATTGAAAGAACACTCTCTTTTTATTATCATTACTATTTTACAATATCTTGATAATCAAAGTGTGTTTAGTTCAAACCATTTTAAATGTTGAAGTGAACTACTCATTTTAAATCAACTGTGAAACAGTATTAATGATTTTTAATCCTCATTCAAAGTAGAAATCATTTTAAATGTCTGTTACAAAGTAATTATGCATTTTTTGATCTTCTGTCTGAAATGAGAAGGAGTGATGTCGGTCAAAAGCCGGAGACAGTTGCAAACAAGTTTATTGGAACGAACTGTCATGTTTTTAAACCTATCAGACAGAAATAAGAAGCTGGCACCTGTGGTCTGTCATCTCGCCTAAACATTTCTCTGTCTGTTCCAAAAACATTTCTCTGTCTGTTCCAAAAACATCTCACTGTTTTTCTGACTTGTAGTAACCTCTTACGTCACTAAAACCACACCCCTGTTGGTTCTTTCAACCAATCAGGACTTCTCAAATGAACCGGAAACAGAACTCTTTAAATGTCGACACTTCCTAGTTCCAGTCGGTTCTGAGGGCAGAACCGAACAGAAAAAGTTCTGAGTTCTGAAGTGCTGGAGTTAGTTGGGAGTTCTTCCGAGTCTAGTTGGGATTATGGAATCTTCCACATCTGAGTGGAACCTCTGACGGACTCACAGCTCATGTGAGTCCACCCGTGAATGTGCGTGTTGTTGAACGGAGTACCGTCACTACTTCGGACGATTCTCAGCCATCCTAAGGAGACGCTGAAAGGTAGCGTTGAAATGGAACTCCGTACCGGAGCTGAACTATCTTCTGCAAAGGTAACGAGCCGCTTCACTACTAGTGCACCGAGGTTGAGCTGGGTTCGGATGGAGGGTGTTGTTCTTCGTCAACACATTTTCCCTCACACATCTTTTCTCTCCATTTAAACTCCTTCATTCCCCATATTTAAAACTCTTCTATCTTGCCAGTAATTAATCCAGATATTTTCAGAAATGTCTGTTGCATTTCAGTTGCAAGTGAGAAATCATGGCCGTATGATTTCTCATTGTAAAGCTCATTAATTAAGCTGTGTTATTGCCTTCAATCAAAATAATCACGTGTACAATGTTTGATGTTAAACTTTGATTCTGTTAATAAATGACAACATTCATTTTGATGGGTCAAAGAAAATTAACGTCTCATGTCACTGGTTTTTAGACCATCTCCCACACAGTATCTCTGTCACATATCTGTCAAGTAGCTCGAAAAAGAGAGAACCCGTCATTAAATATTGATTGTAGTGGAGCTCCTACGCTAACTGAAGCTAACCGATCCTAGCTTACTACACCTACATATGGATCAGTTCACCCGTTTCAGTGCTGGTAGTGTCTTAACCACCAAGAGATCTTCTGAAATAGTCAAACGTTTTATCCATGATTGGATCAGTGTGCATGGTCTACCACAAAAGTTGTTCAGTGACAACGGTGGTGAGTTTAATAACGAGGAAGTGAGAAACATGGCCGAAAACTTTAATATTGAAGTTAAAACAACACCTGCTTACAGCCCGTGGAGTAATGGACTGTTAGAGCGCCATAATCAAACTCTGACTGAGATCCTAATGAAAGTTAAAACAAGTACTGGATGTGACTGGAGCACTGCCATGGACTGGGCTCTGATGGCAAAGAACTCGTGCAAAGTGCAAAGTGTCCATGGATTTAGCCCACATCAGTTGGTGTTCGGGCAGAATCCCAACCTACCCTCTGTATTAATAGACAAAGCCCCAGCTCTAGAGGGCAACACCAAGAGTGAATGGGTTGCCAAACACATTTCAGCCCTACATGCTGCAAGAAAAGCTTTTACAGAAGCAGAATGTTCAGAAAGGATACGCAGAGCACTAAAGAAACAACTGCGACCTACAGATGAGCGATATGAAACTGGAGACAAAGTCTTTTACAAACAAGTGACCTGTCCAGAATGGAAAGGACCAGGAGTGGTCATTGGTCAAGATGGTGCAGTCGTTTTTGGTAGACATGGAGGCACCTGTGTCAGAGTGCACCAACTCAGATTAAGGAAAGTTACTCAGGAGCATGAAGAACCTCAGCTTACCTGCGGTGAGGAGAACAATCAAGGACAACATACAGTGGACATCAATGAAGAGGAAGTAGGAGACACTAATGCAGTAAATTCTGAGAATGATCCTTCACCTGCTCCTAAAAATGCAGAGGCTGAGAGACAGCACATTGAGAACGCCATCATAAAGACAGGTCAAACTGTGACATTCAGAAATACAGAAGGTGTCTCACAAAAAGCAAACGTGTTGAGACGTGCCGGCAAAGCAACTGGGAAATGCAAGAACTGGTTTAACTTGGAGCTGCTTGAGCCTGTAGAAGTGGCTGGCAACAGTGAATCAGCTGATCTGTCACAGTTGGAGGATCTTCATGTCCAGGCAAATGTTCATGATACGGATACACACGAGGATGTTTTTGTAATTAAGGACATGTCGTTTGATGAAGCAAAGGAAAATGAAATAAAAAGCTGGAAAAAGAATCAAGTGTTTGAAAAAATTGAGGACAAAGGACAAAAGTGTGTCTCCACTTGTTGGGTGTGCACTCTGAAAGAGAGTGAACATGGATTAGCACCAAAAGCAAGGCTTGTTGCACGAGGACTTGAGGAGCTACAAGTTTCTGATCTACAAAAGGACTCACCAACCTGTGCTTCAGAGTCACTGAGACTCCTGGTGGCAGTTATATGTCAAAAACAATAGAACCTTCACTCTGGACATTAAATCTGCCTTCTTGCAAGGAATGGAACTGTCCAGAGACATTTTTATCAAACCTCCCCCAGAGGCCAATAGCACAGGCATGCTTTGGAAACTGAGAAAATGTGTGTATGTATTAGCTGATGCCTCACTGTATTGGTATAACAGGGTAAAAAACATCATGATTGAAGCAGGCGGCATCATGTCTAAGGTCGACCCTGCAGTTTTCTACTGGCTGGATGAGGGCAAGAATGTACAGTAACTGAATTGAATGAACTGAAGAATGTTTGATGCTAGTAATTTAGCATCTAGTCTCAAACAGGCTACAGTACAGACCATCAGTGAAGCAAACAGAGTTGTGTGTAAACTCAAGACCAAGTCAGTTGAACTGAGTTTTCAACACCTGGGAGAAAACAGTAACTTAAAGATGGTTACATTCACAGATGCATCTTTTGGGAATCTGTCAGATGGGGGCACTCAGGGTGGGCACCTCATTGTTTTAATGGGTGACAATGGGTGGTTCTCTCCCATTTCATGGCAGTCAAAGATAATTAAGAGAGTTGTTAGAAGCACACTTGCAGGTGAAACACTAGCTATGTCTGAAGGGATTGATAATGCAATTTTTCTTTCCACACTGTTTTCTGAACTCAATGCTGGTAGTACTGCTTGTCCTCCACCAATAGTCTGTGTCACTGACAATTTCTCTCTTGTTGATGCACTTAAGTCAACTAAGTTTGTTGCAGAGAAAAGGCTACGCTTGGAAATCAGTTCGATTAAAGAACTGATTCAAACTATGAAAGTTCATCAAGTGTTGTGGTCTCAAACAAAAGACCAACTCGCAGACTGTTTAACAAAAAAGGGTGCATCTACAACCTCACTACTTAAGGCTCTTTATGAAGGACGTTGGATTGTTCAATAAATTAATTCTCGAGTTGTTTCACACTCTTTCATGTTGAAACTGTTCTAACAAAATCCTTAATGGCTGTGCTTTACCATGAGTCTTATACAAGCATTGTTTTTTTTTTTATGTTATTTTTTTTATTTTTAAAGAAAAGTGGGAGATTTTTTACTCCTTTGTTTTGTTTAGTTTGCATGCCAATCTGCTAGGGGGCACTGTCATGCCAGTAGCGCATGTGAATGTGGTTTACTCTCTTCTTCTGTGGTGTCAGTGTTGTTGAGCTGTGATGAGCATGGTGGAATAAAGTTCTATTGGATCCAAAAGGAAAAGTTATTTTTATTGACTAACATTGGTAGCAGAGGATGGTTAGCAACTACAGAGTTCCACCAACGTTTGAAGAAGGAAAGCCTTATGAAAGTTGGAAGAATGAAGTCAACATTTGGACGAGAGTTACAGATTTGGAGAAGAAAAAGCAAGCGCTTGCTGTCGCCCTGGCGCTGTCTGGAAGGGCGCGAGACACAGCAATGGAAATTCTGGTAGACAATCTAAATAAAGACACTGGAGTGACCACATTGTTAGCTAAACTAGATGATTTGTTCCTAAAAGAGGAAAAGGACAGGGTCTATGAAGCGTACTCAGATTTTGACCGGGTCATTAAAGAAGCAAACATGTTGATGGCAGACTATATTATTGATTTCGAGCAGCGTTACTCGTGGATGAAAAAATACAACATGGAGCTACCCGACGCTGTTTTGGCTTTTAAGCTTTTGAACACTGCTTGTTTGGATATGACGTACAGACAGTTGGCTCTAACGGCATGTTCAGATATAACTTTTGCTTCAATGAAGTCTGCTTTGAAGAGAATATTTGGCGGGGAAAAAAAAGAGTGCGACAGCAGAAAATATTAACCAAGTGTCCGTGTTTGTAACAGAGAAACGGTGGCAAAAGGGCAAGTCCTGGTGGCAAAATACTCGTCAGAAAACTCTACAGTCCAGCACTCCACAACCTGGTACAAACCCGTTGGATAAGTATGGGCGGCAATCAAAATGTGCAGTGTGCCAAAGTACTTTTCACTGGGTTAAAGACTGTCCACACAAAGCTGAGAGTGTTAAAATAACCGATGATACAACAAACGTGGAAGAATGCAATATAACTCTATACACCAAAGAATCACCAACAGATGCAGAAATATTCATGACAGAATGTTTTGACTCAGCAATAATAGACACTGCTTGTACTAGGACAGTTTGTGGACAAGAGTGGCTGGACAACTACAGTACTGTGTTACAAAAGAAAAGTGTGAAGACGATGAAAGAGACAGAAACACAAAGTCACAGGACCTTTAAGTTTGGAGATGGAAGAGTCATCCACTCCATCAAAAAGGTAAGGATACCTGCTAAAATCGGCAACAAAAAGTGTAATATAGAAACTGAAGTGGTACCTGCTAACATTCCACTGCTTCTGAGTAAAACATCATTAAAAAGAGCTGGGACAGTTTTGGACATGGAAAGGGACAGTGCAGTGATGTTCAACCAGCCTGTCAAACTGGACTTTACTAGCTCTGGTCATTACTGTGTGAACATTGTGGACAGTGAAAATAAAAATCCTACTCACTCTGATAAGATATTAGATACTACTGAGGAAGATATACTGACTACAACAGACAAGATGAACACAAGTGAAAAGATGAAAGTTTTAGAGAAAATTCATAAACAGTTTGGGCACGCCTCTGCTGATAAAATACAAAGACTTTTGACTAGTTCTGGCAATAAGGACACAGAATGCAACAGTCTGATGAAAAAGATTGTGAACCAGTGTGAAATGTGTCAAAAATATTGTAAGACCAAACCAAAACCTGCTGTCGGTTTACCATTGGCATCTACATATAATGAGACAGTTGCTGTAGATCTGCATATGCTTGAACCTGGGGTGTGGTACCTATGTAGTGAACTAAGCCTCAGGTCAAAACCTGACCCTGAGGACCTTCATGGGACAGGAACTGTTATTTCATTGATTTGAGTCCAGAAATACAAATTAAGCTCATCCAGAGACTTTCTAAGTGTGTCCTGCACTAATCAATTGAAAGAACACTCTCTTTTTATTATCATTACTATTTTACAATATCTTGATAATCAAAGTGTGTTTAGTTCAAACCA